GCTATCTTCGGTATTTCAAGCAAGACGACTTGTCGGTTGAAGATTACAAGATATTGATGGGAGGCAATTTTGAAGACGTCATCGATAAGCGTTTGAAGACTTTGAAAGAGATGGATGCACTTCAAGAAAACAATCCATGGGAAATACTTGAAGAAATACTTCCCTAGCGTTTGGCGAGATGCTTAGGAAGTCCTGTGGCTGGTAATTGGATTATCGCCCTAAGACAACATGTTCTATGCTTTTAGATTCACGATGTTCATAAAAAAGGCAGGGATGCATGTGTTTACACCCAAATTTAGCACCTATGGACGAAATAGAGAAAATTGGCAAAGTTTAGAAACTGCCGGGTTTCCTTCACAGGGCTGGTCAGACCACAGGTATGTGGGCGGTCTCACCGGCTAGTAGGGCCGTGTCTAAACCACAGGTATGTGGTCGGTCAGACCGTCAGGGTCCGAGTCCGAGTCTGTTTTCATCGGGTCTCGGGTTTCCTTGCCCGGAAAGGCATGTTTTGGGTTTCTTTTGGTTTCTATCCCGAGTTGAATGTGGAGAAGGGCCTGTAGAGGGCAAGACCAATCCCTATTTAAGGGACAAGGCCAGCTCATTGTAATACCCTGAATACACAATATACTTGAATCGCTTTTTCTTTTTATCTTTAGCCATGTTTTCTACTTTACCCTAGTTTTAGTACATCTTTATCGATTTGCGCCGTAAATCATCCGCCGCCGCTGCGAGAGGGCGGCACCTCTTTGTAGGTTTGTCCTAAAAACCTTCCGTTTTACCCACGAGACGGGTAGTTATCCTCATATCGATCTAAATCGGCCTAGAGGCTGATTTTGATCTCTAAATCGGTTCCTCTAGCCGGTTTAATCTATCGAAACCCATCTTGATTTAGCAATTGCTAGATTAGGGTGGTTGGCAACACCATATCATCGCAAGGCGTTTAGGTGCTACGATCATGCTTGTCAACTTGTTACAAAAAATTTCCAACACTCACCATTAATTATTACTTGGCCCCACATTGGATTAACAGTCAATTATTTTCTCAAACTAACCTTGGAATTTCTTGAGAGGTTGTGATTAGAATAGAGATGGATAGACAGATAGTGGATCTCTCTGATTTGAAGTTAGCAAAATTATTCAACATGTTTGTTCATACTATCCGTTGTGTGAAGGACACGACCTCAAGGTAATGAAGCTAGCTGTAGCATATGGTGTTAAAGCCTATATCAGTATATGTCCACTACTCCACGTCAGTACTTCCATGGCCTTCCTGGTTTCTCTCTAATGCCACTGAACTATAGAACCATATATTCTAAATATGGTACTGTATAATAGGCATGACATTCATTTATAAAATCCTTGGAATGAGCGATGTTATGAACAACAGCATACAATGACCCTGATAACAACCATATTGTCCAAAAGGGTCAATCTTGGATAGTTCGTTCAGAGGCACTTTGCCCCTTTATAAGATGGGTATTGGAACCTCACATCTGTCTTTTCTTGACTGCACTGCATGTATTAAAACATTATCCTTGTTGGTCAAAGCACGGGTTCTTCGGTTTGGGTGAAGAGATAATGAGAGCTTGAACAGATGCGCTGTACATACGCATCTGTTTATCTTGGTGTTAAAATATCACTAGTGCAGAGACCGTCATTCGTATCGGCTCATACGTATTGGTCCAAAGTACACGGTTGTGTTTAGTACATTCACACCGGTGCTAACGACAACCGATACGAATAATGAACTAAACGTACCACCGTTGTTGTACGAATAATGAACTAAACATACATCGTTGTTGTTGTACCAACGACAACCGGTGCTATTCCCTACCGGCACATATATCCTATATGCTAGCCAGCTTGAATATTAACTGGTTAGAATAGTTTTTTAACGGAGCGGTATTAATTTTAACCAAGGCTGTGTTTAGTTCACGCCGAAGTTGGAAGTTTGGTTGAAAATTGGAACGATGTGATTGAAAGTTTGTGTGTGTATGACAGGTTGATGTGATGGGAAAAGTTGGAAGTTTGAAAAAAAACTTTGGAACTAAGAACAAGTTCAATATAGTATAGCCCACTACTAGCTCCAATTCATCTATAGCTAATCTAATAACCAATTTATACAATAGTTGCTTACTATACTATTAATATATGGTCTCACGTGTCATACACACATTATGTCTTGGAGCCCGCGCTGCAGCTGGCTACAGATCTGTAGCCCGCTGCTCTTCTCTCTCATCCCTTATCTCATTAAAATATGTTTACAGCTGGCTAATAGTCTGCTATTGTAGTTGCTCTAAACACACCCCAATTGGGATAAGAATTTGAACCCATTCATCAAGAGAAAATTAATTGATCGGTTTCTCGGAGCGTGTGCTGTGTGAATTCCAGCACCGGATCGAAGTTAAAGCGGTTCACCTTTCATTGCTTGTTAATTACTTGGATTGGAAGCTGTATCTCCTGGTGTGTTTAGTTTACGTTAAAATTGGAAGTTTTGTCGAAATTGGAACGATGTGATGGAAAAGTTAAAAGTTTTAAGGTGATAGAAAAGTTGAAAGTTTGAAGAAAAAATTTGGAACTAGACTCGGCCCCTATGTGTACGTGTTCCGCCCTTGGAAATGGAGTTGCTTTTTAGGGGTGGCTTGCCTCCCACGTCCACCCTTGGTAAATATATTTACAGGGGTGACAGATCTTTTTGTCCGCCCTTGCAAAAAGATGGGGGCGCTCCTACAAATAGTAGTGGTGGTTTATGGATACTACTTTTTCCTAATGTATATGCTGAAATAAATAACAAGATGCCGTTACAATATTTTCTCACTAATTAAGCTATTCTACCAAGCATTTTGATGATCACAATTTGTCTTCCACATAGTAATGTCCACTAGTACAGAATCTTCCATCTATGACGGCCTCTAATATGCTTGGAATTAGTGACTGTCACAAGAATCTCAATCGGGCCAAAAAAGCGCCCGATTGAGATATGCAATGTTATCTCAATCTGGCCTAAACTACGGTCCGTCACTGATATGTGTCATCCGTGACAGGCTTGAAATTGATGAGTTATACAACTTTGTTGTTGATGACTTTTTTAGTTGAAATCATTTAGTATTTGAAATTGTTGTTTGAAGTTGTCATATTTTCAAATTCAAATTCAAATTGTTCAATAAATGTTATATAGAGAAATGACCAAAATAAAAGTTGTAAATCTTGATAAGTTATACAACTTTGTTGTTGATGACTTTACTATTTGAAATCATTTGGTATTTGAAAATATTATTTGAAGTTATCATATTTTCAAATTCAAATTCAAACTGTTCAAAAAATGTTATATAGAAAATAACCAAAATAAAAGTTATAGATCTTGATGAGTTATACAACTTTGTTGTTGACAATTTTTCCATTTGAAATCATTTACTGCTCGAAAAATTATTTAAATTTCTTATATTTTAAAATTCAAATTTTATATAGTTCAATCAAACCCGGATGGAGAAATGACCAAAACAAAATTGGTAGATCTCAATGAGTTCTACAACTTTGTTTTTGACGATTTTTTCATATGAGTTCATTTAGTATTATAAAATTCAATTCGAAATTTATTTTTGCCTAGAAGTCTGATTTTCCTCCTCATACTTGCTAAATATATATTTGATCAAATTAACTCGGTTTTGCTGGTGAAATATGTGAATGGATGTGAAATATGTGATCAAAATGGATGTTATGTGAATGTGATTGTATTAAATATATTGATGGTTGTGTGTGTGAATCAACGTACAACTTCTTCTCCGGAAGGTGATCCTAAAGAACTCTAAGGTCAAGCGTGTTTATGTTAGAGCAATTTTGAGATGGGTGACCGACCGAGAAATTCTTCCCGGTTATGTGTGCTGAGGCTAGCCAAAAAAACATAATTTATTTATTTTTTATTATACTCATCCGTGACGGGCTATAATTTAGACCCAATTGATATGAGAGTTATCCGTGACGGGCTATAGTTTAGGCCCGATTGAGATAGGAGTCATCCGTGACAGGCTATAGTTTAGGTCCGTTAGAGATGAGAGTCATCTGTGATGGGCTATAGTGTTGGCCCGATTGAGATGTGTGTCATCCGTGATGGCCGGATGCCTAATTGAGATATTTTCTCACATCAGTGACCTTTGCTTAGTGACGGAGGCGCTATCCGATAGAGATGAGGCTTTAGACCCGTTACAGATGACCGAACATATTCTAGTGGTCGTTGCTAATAGTAGAACACTTTCCAACTCAGACCGCAAAACAATCTTCCGTGAGATTAGATTGTTCCTATAAGCCATATATATCTTTTTTTAAGAAGGGTACAACTTAGGACACACACTTTACACACACCACACTCACACCACGACACACGCACACACAAGCGTGCACGTCCCTAACACACGCTAGGAAAGAGATTGTAGGCACTAGGTCTCAGTGCACGTTGAAAACGTGCAGTCCCACTGAACGTGTACGCGTGTGTATATCTTATTACCTACCCGGGACCTTCCAAAGACAGTCCCGGGGAAAGAGGGGAAAATTCCCCACGGGCGAGGGACGAGTGTCAAGTCTTGAGACTTGAACGCTGGTTAGCACCGAGCGAGCCACTGGCTCCTGCCACCCGCGCTACGTGCAGTCCACATAAGTCATATATATATAGTCATCAACCATAGTACTCCCTCCCTTCCAAATTACTATTAATTAATTTAGAAAAGACAAAATAAAATAGTTATTTGGAACGGATGGAGTACTTTCTTGTTTATGCCCCATGAAAATGGATAGGGACGCTATGTGTATATGCACTGTCATATTATAAAAGACTAAAGATGGACTTCTTGTTCCTAAAATAAATGGAGTGTTACTACCCACTCATGTATTTTTTTTTGGCAAGGTCACTAAAAAAGTAGCTGCGTCAATTAGCATCAAGAAAGTTCTAAGCAAGAAGACAGCACCTCTATTATGTAAAAAATAACAAACAATCATAGTCAGTTTACCTTGGGTACACCACCGAAACAGATGTATCGAGTGCACTCATCTTCATAGTGAACATTCCTCATGGAAGTGGCCAGAGCTTTCTCCCTCAGTTTTCTCCCAGGCCAGCGCAACAAAACTGGTTCAATAAACTTGTGGAGAAAGGACCAAAACATATCCAGTTTGGATGAACGTGGATAGTACATATCTTCCTGAGATGTGAGCATATAAATGATCATTTAGACAGTAGAAAAGTCCTGGTCACAGAACAAGATGATATGACATCTATAATACGACATCTCTTATATATATACTTTCTTAGTTTTCACTGCTCCCTCCATCCCAAAATATAAGTATTTTTGACTCTGACACGTTCTTCGAGATGCTATTTTGACTAACAATATCTATAGAAATAAAATGTTTTAAATAAAAAGAGTTGCATATTATCATAGTCAAAGTTACATGACTATCAATTTTACATGATTGATATTCTTTATTTTTTTATTAATAGCCAAAGTTAAAAATATTTGACTTGTCACTATACTAAAAATACTTATATTCTGGAACCAAGGGAGTATAATTAATTCTCATGTCACTCAACTGCTTTGTGCTCAATTACTATCTGATATGGAAAATATACTTCAGGAGACATTCGTATGAAAGATGCACTTAACTATATTGCCAGTTAAAATCTGTAAATAGTCATATTGATCACTGAATATCGTGTGTTCTTGATGAAAAGGAATAAGGACTATTATTTGTGTAGACTATTTACTGTAGAGTGACGCCAACACTTGTAATAGTTTGACTGTTAACATTTATTGAGGTGACCATGGGCAAGGCCCATTTTAATTTGTTAATTTTTGTTGTCTGATTTTGGATCACACTGAAAGTTTAGATAGGTCGAGGCTAACTTATTACATCCTATGCACTCTAAAAAATGGGACTTCCTGGTTAATCCTATTACATTAGTGTAAGGTGTTTTCATATGCAGTCAGGCTGCAAGGGAATTTCAGACAAACCCTACTGCATTGACTTGTGCTACATTTCGTTGTTAATTTAGCCAAAATTCACAGCAACATTGTAACTACTATCTGTTTAAAACAGAGTGCCATTTTTACTAGACAAGGAACCCAACATACTACATAGACTATAAATTAGTGATATAGTAGGACAGTTGCTAAATTCATTTTCAAGAAAAAATCTAGTTATGCTATTTTCAAAGGTATATTTGAAATATTAAAAATAATATTTATAGTCAAACTTTAAATCTCTTGATTGCAAGCAACCTACAATTTCAGGGAAAAAATGTTCAATAATTATTGATGTCTTATATATTCATTGTTTCCATTGAGTGCTCATGGCGAAACACACCCTATATGTTTTTCAACAATTAGTAACGTGACTTTTTTTTTAGAGAAGGGTATTTTTTACCAGGCCTATACATCCAACCGGATATATACGGTCATTGAAATAGGGAACTTAGCCCCGCAAACAACTCAATCTGAAATTCGCTCCATAGGATATTTGAATTCAGGACCGGTACTACTCAGGTCAGGCTACATGCCCTTTCGTTAGTAAATAGGGGCAAAGGAAGATCACTTCACTTCTTTGTTAATATCTCCTACAAAATCCTCGTATGACTTTTTTTTTTGCGGAGTTAGAATGACACTATCAAGTAAGAACCATCAGTGACATTGTCTTTATCACCAACAGTCTACCAAGAACTGTCATCAATAGATCATGGCTAATCACTTCCAGTTCATGAATGCTGGCTCATCAATATTCATTTGATAAAATAAGGTGTCAGTGATCTGCTATATAATTAGCTCTGTATAGTAGTGTATGTATTCATAGAAAATGCATTTTTATAAATTTTCATCTGATTGATGTGAATTATATCATTCACAGAATGATCCTTCCATAAGAATATTTATTCCATGGTATTATTTTATAAATAAATTATTTCAATTCCATTTTACAGATAGTTGATACTTTTTCACCTATTCTTAGGAAGACCAATGATCTTATTCTACCAAACTGTGCATCGACAACATACAATTACTACAAGAAAACAGAATATCCTTGGTGGCTTGGTGGCCATGCAATTTTCTTGGCGGTCTAAAATCAGCCACCAAGATTATATTTTAATTTGGCGGTTCAAATTAGCCGCTAAGCAAAACATTGGTGGCTATTTCCAACCGCCAAGGAAATATATAGTTTGCTTAGTACATATTTCCTTGGCGGTTGGAAATAGCCGCCAAGATAATTTCATATTTTTACGTGCACCTGCAGGTCAAAAATTCCCGCCAAGTGCCAAATCACCGATTTGCGCCTCACGCCACATCATCGATCCACACCTTCTCCCGCGATCTCAATCTCAACCGTCCATTCCCTCCCCATCCAACAGCAGATTCACTCATGAGTTAAAATTTAACTCCCAGTAAAATTTTAACTCGTAAAATTTTAACTCATGGGAGTTAAATAATATTTTAAAGCAGTAAATGATTTCAACTAAAAAAGTTATCTCATCAAGATATATAACTTATATTTTAGTCATTTCTTCATCCGACAAAATGATAGTAACATTTTTCCCAAAATTTGTATATCTCTCTTATAGTTTATAAAACTATATAGGAGATATGTACATTTTGTGAACAATGTTACAAATCACTTTGTCGGATGAAGAAATGACCAAAATAGAAGTTATAGATCTTGATGAGTTATGCCACTTTGTTGTTGATGATTTTTTCAGTTGAAATCATTTACTATTTGAAAACGTTGTTTGAAGTTGTCATCATTTGAAATTTAAATTCAAACTGTTGAAACAAAGTCATATAAAAATAACCGAAACAAACTGTTTTTGGCCGCTAAGGATATTCTGGTTTCTTGTAGTGCAAGTCCAATACATATACAACTTGTAGATAATTTTCTGTGTAATTATTCCTCTACTACCTTCAATCTTTAATACATGAGATTTACGACAAGCTAATTAGTTTTAAAAGAGCTAAAAACCTTATCCTAAACTTTACACTTTTACAAAGGAGATAGTATATATGCAACTATGAAGTTGCTTTGTATATTCTGGTGAGACGATCAAGACGCTAATTATAGAGCTATATTTGTTTTAAAGTATGTGTAATTAGCCAATAGTTTGTCGTGATTCAACAATATTTTAATGGTACAATACATTAATGTCAAGTACTACCTCCGCTCTTAAATGTATAATACCATTAACTTCTTACTCAAATGACTCACAATATTTATTTAATCAATTAGTGTAAAGTGAAATGGGTAACATTAGATCTAACATCAGAACTATTTTATGGTTTACAAATATATTTGTCTATTTCAATAAATATTTGCCGGAAAGATGAAAACTCAAATGAATGAAAAAAATCAATGGCGTCTTATATTTAAGAACCGAGGTAGTATATGTAATTAGCAAATAGTTTGTTAATATATTTTCCAAACAACAGTTTTCTAGTGGTACAGTACATTAATAAAAATAGTACAGTACATTGACTACGAGCTTTATTCTACACAATTTTCTGTACCAACCTTTGCACACTGAGTACGAGCTTTGTTCCAGTCAATCTCATCATAGGGGTCATTGTATAGTTCACTTCTTAGCTCTAGCACAACTGGTGTTACTGGGCCAACAAACCTTTTTCCATAAATGTAAGACATGGGTATAAACACCATTCGGATATAGCTCGACATTCGACCTGCATTATGTTATGAATCAGTAATACATCATATTATCAATGAATGGCCAACAACATAGAAACTTCAGCATTTATCAATTCGGTGTATTGCAGTTGAATAATCTGCCGTATTAAGATAATTTAATTTTCACCCTAGATGGAGGCTCATTCATTGATCTCTAGTCGTAGCTAATAAGATTAATTTCCTCTCTTATGTGTTGATCTGTACATGAGCTATAGTGGTGATACGCATTGTGAAATTCAGATGACATGTGCACAACGTACAGTGTTTAGAGGTGCCATACGGATATGTGTTTGCGCGCGCGTGTACTATGGAGAGAGGGTGTACATGGTTTTTTTAGGGGGGGGTGGTGTTAGGCGCGCGGCCACCCCTAAATACCGTACTACCTTCTCATGCAGTGCTACTACAACGGTACTACTACCAGTATTACTGCTACTATACTATAGTCCTACTAGTACTACTACTATAAAAAATATATACATGTATATAAACTTTGTATATGTTGCATATGTATACAAAGTTTATATACGACGTACAAACTTTATATATGTACATATTAAAAATAAAAAAATACATCACGTATATAAAGTTTGTACACATATACAAAGTTTGTATACTCGTACACAAACTTTGTATACGTACATATGTATACACTTTTAATGTATAAAAATATACATATGTATATAAAGTTTGTGGGCTTACGTATAAAAAACCAAAAAATACGTGTATACAAAGTTTACATACATACGTATTACAAAACCGAGAAAACGGAAAAATATACGGAAAAGAAAAAAAAGAAAAAAAGAAAACTGGAGAGGATACGGAAGAGAAAAAACAGAAAAAAAAAAACAAAACCGTACGCGCATTCGCCGCCTCCTCTCTGCGTGCGACACGCCGTCAGTCGCGCGGGAGAGCTAGCGCGACTAGTCGCGAATTAGACTACTCGTACATGGTGGCTGTCCATAGAGCTGACATAAGGCCCATATATATGGTATATACTGATAGTGTTGGCATAGCTACAATCCAAACACCCCAGGTTTTCCTAAATTTAAGTTGCGACTAAGATTTTTTGGGGCTAACCCCAAACACATTCCCTATACAACACGTGCATGAATATGATGCCTCAAGAAAGCAAGCAGTACTACCTGGGTGAAACGGCAGTTGATACGGCAATAGTAATAACTCTGGTGGCACTGGGTTATTACCGGACCAATCAAATACTCCAAGTACCTGAGATAATAAGTGAAATGAAACTACGGAAGCTTCTCTATAAAACCAATTTGAAAAAGTTTGAAATGGCATAAATGCCATAAACAAAGAAGTGTATTAATCCCATACCGAGAGCCAGAACTTCCCCCATGATGTCGTAAATGTGGCTCCTCCATGATCTAAAATCCAGTTTCGACCATTCTCTATGCATCCATCTCCACCATTTGGACCCTCCCCAAGCAATCTCAAAGCAACATAGTTCAGGGATGAGCCAAGCATGGTGCTGTGGCCCTCAATGTGCAACCCCCACCCTCCATCTTCATTCTGCAATTATATATATTGTTAGGAATAATCTAGACTTATGCATGCATGTTTGAATCTTGTAAAAACGGAGCAGCGATTAGTGGGTGATTAATTAAGTATTTACTATTTTTTTAAAAAATGGATTAATTCCATTCTTAAGCAACTTTCGTATGGAAACTTTTTTGCAAAAAAACACATCGTTTAGCAGTTTAAAAAGCGTACGCGTGAAAAACGAGAGAGGTGTTGGAAAGAGGGGCAGCTGAGAACAACCTTAGGTGGAGATGTTCTAGCTAGTCACATTAATTTGTTTAATGTGGTTGCATTAGCATGTGGCACAAACGAGATCTGTTCACATTGATGCTGTGGTAAGTTCAATTTCCAACATATATTCACGAAAAGTAATGAATTTGCTTTCTCGCAGCATAGAATTTGTAAAGTTTATCAACAAATTAATTAAAGTAACCTTGCCTGGTGATTATAGATGTACCGGCGCATCTCCTTCTGATGTTCCGATGATAAAACAGTGTTCAGAACTCCACTGACATGCAATGTTATAATCTGAGCACATGCGAGTCAAAACATAATGATGAGCAGCTTTCTTACCTAGCAAGAACTGAAAAATCAATAACATATGAGGTTAAAATGCACCCAGTTGCATTCTCTATTCAGAATGCACGTACGCTGCAGTTGCAACCGAGAGACTAGGCCAATTGCAGCTTGACGCAACGATTGCAATTGGACCAAACCAGTTGCAACTCGGACCGAGCTGGTTCCAACTCGGATGGAGCCGGTTGCAACGGTTCGAGTTGCAATTTGGATCGAGCAGTTACAACAAAACTGCAATTTTTAGATGGCGCTAAAATTTTGTTAGTTACTATTATATCGGATGTTTATATAATAATTTAGAATATTAAACATAGACTAATAAAAAACTAATTTCACAAATGAGAGCTAATCCACGAGATGAATTTTTTTAAGCCTAATTAATCCATAATTAGCAAATATTTACTGTAGCATCACATAGGCTAATCATGGATTAATTAAGCTCAATAGATTCATCTCGCGAATTAGTCCAATGTTACAGAATAAGTTTTGTACTTAGTCTATGTTTAATACTCCAAATTAGCGTCTAAATATCCGATGCGAAAGGGACTAAATTTTAGTCCCTACGAACCAAACACCCTAGAGGGTGGGTGCATTCTGCCTATACAAAATTAAATGCACCCAGGTCGTGACGTGGGTAATTATCAAAATAGCACGGTGTGTCATGGAATACAATAACCCACACAATTACGCGGCTAGCACCCAGATAAAATTTTCCAATCCTTTTACACATAATTTTCTATAAGAACTATTAAATAATAATATCATTCTCTTAGGACTTTATAAAAGTTGAACCTCTTGATCATCGAGTTTTTAATTTTATATTTTTGAGTCACATCAACCACCACCCCTTACTCCTTAACTGGCCGCTTAATTGTTTATCCGGCCCTCCATGACTTCTATGTTCATCCACTTTTAAAATAATTGGATCTTATAGGTTTCAGAGTTTATTGTCTTATCAGGCTATGTTTTTAGAAATTTTAGAAGTCCAGTCAAATATCGTCACCCTACTCCTTTAATGTCCGCTTATTGCCCCCTCCCCTCTTTATTCTTATTGGAAATTTGAAAATAAAACCTGATTATTGTGCGTTTACTCTTTTACTTTCTAGTAGTCCAGTCAACCGCCATAAACCTACACCTTTATGACCTATCTGCTACACTTACTCTTTATCAACATTGGGATTCTTAAAATTGAATCTAGTTGTAATTGAGGTTTTTTTTACAATATTTAGATGTACTCCTTTACAGTTCATTTGTTGCTCCCCCTATTTATTGTCATTTGCCATCCCTCAGCTCACTCTTTGATGGCAAATCGTCGTTTCCCTGCTCCTTTGTCACCCATCCACTTATCTACCAGTGCTGCTGTTTTCATCTTTATTGTCATCGGCACTTATAAAATTGAACCTTAGCATTGTCCGGGTTTCCTTTTATAGTTTTTAGACACCGCCACCATTGCTTTACTCATTTGTTGCTTCTCGGTTTGCTCTCCCATGGAAACCACTGCCTCCCTACCCCTTTTTCGTCTATCCACTCGTCAAGCCATGCCATCTTTATTTTTCTTTATCATTTAGTGCCATTCAAAATTGAAACTTATTGTCGCTGTGATTACGATAGAAGTCCCACATATGTGGTCGGCACCGTAACCCCTATCTTACTCGCTTTCCACCTATCATCACCCTCTGGTAGTTCTTGATATTATATTTTCATTAAACTTATTATCGCTGTGATTACAATAGAAGTCCCACATATATGGTCAGCACCGTATCCTCTATCTTACTCGTTTTCCTCCTGTCATCGTCCTCTGGTAGTTTTTGATACTGTATTTTCATTTCAGAATTTAATGATTCTTTAAGTTTATTTGAAACTCGTATTGAAATCCAATTTTACAATGTATTTTTTATTTCAAATTTTAATGAGACAATCGATGTATGGCTGCAATGTAGGGCTGAATGCCTGTACATGAGCCTTAAGCAGTTCAGCCTGATCGAACAACGCCTCTGCATTTTCCCCCTATCGGAAAGCCCTCATTTTTTCTAGCAGGTCTCGAGTCTTTTTTTTTTAAAGAAAAAAAATTCCATTAGGCTAAAGTCCTCATAATAGTCCGAATCGTATTAGGATGCCCACCAGTTATGCAACCTTTTCTTAATTCCTCTTTTTACAACCCTTTCTATTATTTCTAAGGATATAATTTTGTTTTGTATTCAATTATTTCTAAGGATATTTTCTCTTTGCCTTCAATTAATGTGAGAATTTCTAATATCTAAAACAAACATAGTATATTTTTAAATTATATTTCTACTTGAACTCTTCTTTATTTTTACTCAGGTTAATGTGGGACTATCTACCATCCAAAGTGAGTTTTTATTTTGATCCTTTAATGATTTTAAAGTTTATTTAGAATTTGTGTTGAAATCCAAATTTGGAATTTATTTGATTTATTATTCCAATTTTTCTACTTAATTTGTTTGAATTTTTTGTACATATCCGAGTCGTAGTCTGTCGTTGCAATGTACCGATGTATCTGTTTCTAATGCACTTTAGATAGACGACTGTAATTTTCCAGAACTTTTTGTGGACTCTTATTGAAGCTCAACCGTTAAAATCTAGACCGACCACGATCTAAATTATAATCCTACTTAAACTCATTATTCTTGCTATGTAGTCTTTACTTATATAATTATTTTATTATATTTTGTTTTGAATTTTATTGTTTTTTAAAGTTTATTTGAATTTTGTACTGAAAATCCAGTTTAGAATTTATTTTATTTTCTATTCTAAATTTTAATTAATCTCGTGTTGTTTTCTAGATGTATGCTATTTCAATTTTACCTTTTTTTAAAAAAAATTGGTTATTTATACATTGTATTCCTACTTAAATTTTATCTTTTTTTTTCCTTCGCTGACAGGAAGAACATATGAAACTAATATTTTTTTTTAGAAAATCATTTAAAGACCTAACATTATTTTTGTGCAAACGTAGACACAAATAGAATATTTTTTAAGATAATGCATCAAACCAATAGAGATATATGTTTGAGGGAAGAACATAAAGTGATAAGGACGAAGAAAACTCAGAATATATTTGCATACGCGGGAGATGCAGATGCCTTTTTTTTTACGTGTATGACTTCTACTATGAGGGCTCGATTTAGTCGATATGGTCAGACTCTATCCTTGTATGACTCTATATGCGGGAGTCTATATCCATTGCTTTTCCTGCTGTATCAATCTAAGACCATTAAAATATGGATCTACCATGATCTAACGTGGTTAATATTTTTTCTTTTTCTTTGATTAATGTAGTAATTTCTAGGTTCCACAGCGAATATGATGTCTCTTTTTAAAGCTGTTTTAATAATATAATAGATAGATAAAACAAGATGGAGCAGGTACCAAGCCAGGCAAAAAGAACATAAGTCCTGCATAATCCCCGGGCCAGTGTCCATCATGTGCCTGCAAATTACAAACGCGGCTTATGGCCCGTTTCAAAGAGCTCCACACAGCTTCCCCCATGACGTCTTCGTGCTCTCCACGCTTGACAGCGAGAAGGTCCAGCTTTTGACAGTTTTCTTTAGCGAACTGCAAAATAGAGAGCAGAAGGTAAGAGAGTCAGTGTGGTCATGAGCACAGAACAGTGTATGTTTTTTTTTTCAGTGCCAATTTTACAAGAGAAGTTAAGTACTTCCTCTGTTTTACAATGTAAGTCATTTTAACATTTCTCACATTTATATTGATGCTAATAAATCTAGATAGATATAAACATATGTCTATATTCATTAGCATTAATATAAATGTGGGAAATACTAGAATGACTTACATCGTGAAACGGAGGAAGTAGTTTAGTGTGAATTAGGTTCAGTTTAGCGCACAGCTCTGACTCAGCCCAAAGTAGCTAGCCGTCTTCCCGTGCTGGAAATGAAAAATATTTTGTACAACGGGTTGCGCCAAGGACCACAGGACCGAGAAGATGTGCTCGATGGATGTGTCGTGGACATGGACGAACCTGCATCCGCATGAGGAGGTCGCTAGAATGCTTGCGCTCGAAGCGGTGCTCGGCGAACTCGCGGCGCGCCTTCTCCACATCGGCGCGCTCCTCTGGCGTGCCGAGGTCAGGGTCGAACTCCCACACTTGCCGGCCGAGGAGATTGTTTACCGACCGCAGCCATGGGCTGCCGCCCTCCGACACCTTCAGCCTCCACATGTACGAGTCCGGAAGAAGGTGGTGGTCTAATAGCTAAGGTGCGTATATATGCTCCGGTATCAACTTAATTTTATAGAGGGTCAAAGCATCTCCAACACACCACCCAAATCACACTCTCTAAACATCTATATATAGCCACCTCTTCAATTGATTTAGTAAGTTAAACCCGTTGCTTACTCCAACAGCCTCTCCATCCACCCTCTCTATTATGGGTCTATGACACTAGGACCCATATGTCACTCTCTCACTCTTCCTCCCCTTCACTTTTCTCCCAACCCACTGACGACAACAACAGTGGCGAGAGGAGAGAAGCGGCAGCAGACCACGTGGGAGGGAAGCACCACCGGCGACAGCAGGCCACGAGGAGGGAAAAGCCCGGCAGCGGCGACGGCAGGCGACGAGAGGGGGAGAAGCCGGTGGCGGCAGCAACAGCAACCAGAATCGAGCTCAGCCGGCGACAGCAACAGCAACTGGCGGATCAGGGCGTCGGCGAGGGCGGTCGGCGTTGCCGGCCTCAGCCCGGCCGCCGGTGACGGCGCTCGCACATGCGCCTCCTCTCGCCCAGCCCATCTTGACGCGTGGTGCTATCCACGGAGGTGAGGCGGCGCGGAGGAGCAGCATCGGTGGAGGGGGTGCTGGGAAGGAGCGGCACCGCCGGTGACAGCGCTCGCACATGCACCTCCTCTTGCCCATCCCGTCTCGATCTGGGGGAGAGAGGATGGGAAAAAATCGTGGGGATGTGTGGGGCCCATATTTAGCTACTGATGTTGGCTGGCCAAATTTGGCCAGCGAGGAGTTTAGCCAGCTGGATAGCTTGTTGGAGTGCGATTTTACTCTAAAATTATCAAAATTTAACTTGGAGAGTGAGATAAGGAGCCTGTTGGAGATACGCTCAGTCACGGTGCAGAGAGTGGTTAGGCGTTGCGCGCTGAACTGGATTGTTTATCACTAATGCAGAGTGGTTAGGCGTTACGACCTATTTATTGCTGAGCATGCACTATTAATAAGATAACTGTATTAGTGATGATGAACATGCCCTACTACAAGTCTTTGTAGTTTTCCCAAACAGTGTCTTTGCATAGATGGCCAACAGTGATGGTACAATTCACCAGCTACAAAAACTGTGGGTAATGTGGGGATCACATTGTAGGCAATTGCAAAAACTGTAGGGAAAGATGGAAAATTATACTACAAACCCTATTGGCCACTTCGAAAAATAATACTAATAGTGTTAACACTGCTGGCCAACTTAAAAAAAACAAGATCACACATGGATATATTCCGACGAATTTTTTTTAGCTTATTATTGAATTATTTTTAAGTGTTGCACAATATTCCACCAGGTATATCGGAATTGTTTCACTAAGTAGATCGAAAATGTTTCACTCGTTTAAATCGGGTGTTGTTTCACCTTATATAAAAACAATGTTTCAGCAAATAGTGAAATAATGTTTCAATTCACTGCAACATTTGATCCATACATTGTAAAACATTATAAGTACACTAGGTGAAACATTTTTTGGTGGAACAAAAAATAAAACGAATTCCCTTAATAGGGGGTTTCCAAAATATGTGGGTTTTTTATTGCAACGGAGTATTTTAGTTCACTGCAACATTAGATCTATACATAGTGAAACGTTGTGACTACACTAGGTGAAACATTTTTGGTGGAACAAAAAATAAACTAAATTCCCTTAATAGAGGGTTTCCAAAATATATGGGTGATTTGTTGCAACGGCGTGTATGGTGGGGACACGTGGAGGGAGCAGCGCAGAGGCGTGGGCAGCACAGGCGCACGTGGGCAGCATAGGCGTGGGGGCCCTGCGCGGCAGGAGCGTCCGATGCAAGCACGCGGCATCGGACGCCAGGCACCGAGCATTCTCGTATTATATTTATAAATATGTTATAAAGAATAGTTACATATTATAGACAACTGTATTTGGTAATAGCATTCATCAATTTCCCGTACGGGGTCCCAACCTCAGGTCCTGGGGGCATAGGTTGTTACCATCTATGTTGGTTAATTTTCATTTTCCTAATTGACCTCATTAATGATACTTCCTCCGTTTCTAAATATTTGACGCAGTTAACTTTTTTAAACATATATAACCGTTCGTCTTATTCAAAAAATTTAAATAATTATTAATTCTTTTCCTATCATTTGATTTGTTGTTAAATATATTTTCATGTATACATATAGTTTTACATATTTCACAAAAGTTTTTTGAATAAGACGAACGGTCAAACATGTACTAAAAGTCAACGGCATCAAATATTTAGAAACGAAGGGAGTATTTAGTTTAAATTTGGGCAATGATGTACACAGTTTCCACTAGATTCTTCTTATAATAATGATTGACTTGAGCAACATCCTTATATTTTATTCATTGAGGAAAGACCCAAAAGACTACCAAGACCTTCAAGATATGCTTCAATAGTAATAGTTATGAGGTCTTGGCATCTAGGGTTTCCTAGGCGACTCGAGGATAGTCTCATGTCGGTCGTCTAGGGTTCGTCACCCATCCAATCTCCTCGTATTTTCGGTCTCCAATCCCCTCTCATTTTCCTTCCCATCTTCTAGGTCGCCTCAACCAATCCCGTGCCATCTGGTGTCCACCATATCACTGCAGTTTTGCAGCCGGTAAAACCCTAGATCTGCTAGCATGTTTTGGTTATGCGGTTTCCTTGGCTTTCGGTGCTGTGATGGAGAAGGTTGAAGGGTTGATGGAGAAACTCAAGCTGTCGGCAACGGAGAAGAAGGGGGTCAAGATCAAGGAGGTGGAGGAAGACAAGTTGAAGGATGGGATGGATCATCGCACAGTCGGTAGACTCCTCTCAAAGAAACCGGCTCTTGTGGAGGCTTTTGTGCAAACCCTAGGGAAGATCTGGTGTCCAATCAAGGGTATTGAATGCACAGATTGGGGTGATAATCACTTTATGTTCACCTTTCACCAGGCTTTGGGTAAGAAGAAGGCTTTGAATGAGGGTCCATGGATGCTTTCTAGAGATCTACTGGTGATGGCTGATTTTGATGGTTCAAAATCCTTGGATGAGATAGACTTTTCTTTCATCCCGATCTAGGTGCGGATCACAAACCTCCCTGAGGGATGATGAACAGGATGGTGGGGGAGGCGCTTGGAGGGGAAATTGGTGAAGTCATGGAGGTGGACCTGGAGGATAGTGATCCAATGTCGAGTAGATTTTTGAGAGTAAAGATTCAGCTTGATATCCGTAAACCTTTGATGAGAAGTGTTACGGTTCTAGTGGGCAAGAAGGAGGAGGAGAGGTGGTGTCCCATATAATATGAATTCTTGCATGACTTTTATTACATTTGTGGTATAATTTGGCATACAGAGAAATTTTGTGATGTTGTGTTGGGGAAGGATGAGAAGCAACCATACGGGAAAGATCTTAGAATCATCCCTCAGAAGAGAAGAAATGATGCTTTATCGGGTGGCAAGTTCTCTGAGTCACGGGGTAGTGGCCAATGGAGGAGTAACTTTTCGGCTGGGCGAGGACCGGGTGGAAGTTCTGGTAGTAGGGGAAGTGGGGAGAAATCTCGCAGCGATGGCCCATCATGGCGGAAGCTCTCGATAGGAAGTGCAGGCGAGAAGGAGAAGGAGAAGATGGCTGGTGAGGAGGCGGAGGTCCAGAGCCCGTTAAAACTCAAGGCGTCCGAGGCTCTTACACACAATTCCAAGAAGGCTCTCTTTAGAGAGGCGGTGATTGAGGAGGTGAGGAAAATTGCGAGGGAAGAGGAAGATGCTAGTATAGGAGCAGTGGGGTAAAACAGTACCATGTAAGCTATGCAGAGTGATCACGTGGACGCTAATGCTAGTGGGAAGGGAGTTGTTTTGTCGGGCAAGGGGGGGTGGCAGGACCCAGGTCATGCCAATGTCTACTAAGCAGAATGTGCATGTTGATCTTCCTGTTAAGTCCGTGGATGGGGGGAAGGAGGTGACTATTGGAGAAAATTGGGACAAGTCTGTTAAGAAGTTCAAGAGAATGTCGTGTTCTGAGCTGAAATCGGGAGTCATGTCCCTAACCCAAACACAGGAGAAGAAGAGGAAGATTGATGATGTTCAATGCATGGAGGTGGATCAGTCGAAGAAGGTGAAGGAAGTGACGGTGGAATCTGAGAAGAACAGGATGCCTACAAATTTAGCGGGACTGGCAGACCAGTCCTGCATTACTGTTAACAACCAAATTTGGTAATCTAAGTATCGGAGATGAGGATCGGATCGAAGCGGAGTCCAAGGCCAAGATCGTTTCGGAAACAGAGCAAGAATCGGCTAAGTCCGAATCAGCTGCAACCTCGATTGACAAAATCAGAGTCGGACGAGGTTAGCCAATTGAGCCGATTACGACAATATGACTCGGTGTGGGTCATCGGGTTGAATCAAAGTACTTCATCTGAATTGCCGCACACGGATTGAGTCCTGATGAGGCAATTGTATCTATTAATTAGGATATTTTATGTAATTTCCTTAGAGATAAGTGTAGGCAAAAGTCTGCCGCAAAGACTTATGGTATTTTAGAGTTTGTTAGGGATAAGAGTCGTGTCCGACAAGGACATGCTTTGTAATCTCAGGTATAAATAGACCCTGAGACCTATGTAATCGATAACACATGTTCAAATACAATCTCAGCGCATCGCCACCTTTTGCTTTCGTTTACTTTCGACGAGTTCTTGCTTTCGGGTTGAGCTGCATCGGTTTCAATCTTCAACTAGAGGTAAAACTTGTTATGGCGGCTTGCGTTATCGGGATTAGTGCTTCCATCATTATGATACTCTAATCTGATTTATGTAAGTTGTCGAGTTATCATATATTATATATAATCTTTGGCAATATTGTTATCTAGCTTTCAATCGGCTAACACCTGTCGCTAGGAGACAGCCGATCATGTTAGGTTTCAACGTTGACATAGATTATATAGAATATCCACCACTCTATGAATCATCCAACGACTTGATTGTCTAGATATTGTTCTTCTTTTCATACTTATAGCTGCATCAGTTGAGTTTGACCTTATAAGTCATGATTAGAATCTCAAGCTCTAGCCTGTCTTTGGATGCCAATTAGAGTAGCATCGGAGTTTCAGCCGATCTTACCTGATTTAGCTTTATGTTTTACGTGCTTAATGATATGCTAGATATGTCCTTTATATTAAGATCTTGGTTGCTTTTAGATGTATTAGACTTCTTGTTTAATATATTTCACTTGCATTGATATCCTAGTATAGAGTGGTATCGGAGTATTAGCCGGTACATGCTAGATCTCTTTGATCGGCTATGTTATGAACATTTGCAATCTTCTCGTTAATATATATTTCGATCTAAGTGATTTATACTGTCTCGGCACGGCGACCGATCTATCCCAATCACTTGATTTAAATATATATCGACATAAGGATTACAAACCGTTGATACCTACAGCCGATCAGATAAATTTAGCTTTATTCTTATTTCACTCCTAGCTAAGCCGATCGATGTAAAGATGACATCGGCTCAAAGATAAATGATACGTCATCGGCAATTAGCCGATCGGCTATCGTTTATGGATTTAACCGCGGTTTCTTTTGTCTATCCTTCTTGTTGATTGCAGGATCAAATCAATTGGCATGCTCACGAACCTCAAGACAAGCTTTGGACCTGCACAGGAGTTAAGCAGATCTCCCAGGCCTCGTGTTTTTGCATTAA